CTTCAATTTCTTTTATTGGAGAGGGTGTGCGATGAGGATAATGGGGTGTGTGTAGGGTTGGGGTGGGAGGGGTGTGACAACCATTATTGGAATGAGTATATTTCGGCTTCCGCTGTTTCTCACATTGCATGATGTGTTTCACGTCCCCTGACGTACGTACACCTTTGTCGGTATTGAGACAAAGATGTCCTCCAGCAACACCTGGCGAATATGGAACTAACTTGTTGGTCCAGCCGGGACACAGCAGCTATACTGACATACACAAGAAAGCACACACCTGCCGTTTTGGGACTATTGCTAGCAATGTTGTAATTGGGTACAATATCTGTCGTGTTTTGGAAACACTTGCACAATCTTTGTGACAAGGCAGAATCAAAACACTTTTAAATACACTCTCTCAAAAGAAACGCAACCCTATCTAAATATCTGACATCATTTCTAGAATAAAGATGGTGAATGTAAATTAGAATTTTCTTCAAAATACTGTTAATACGTTCCCCATCTGATCAGTATAAGCTCCCAAACGGAACCATTTTCACACATGATGACCTTTGTATCCGTGTTATTTGAGAAAGTGCAGAAATTGTCATGTACAAAATGCTAAAAGCCTGTTGCACGTGCAAATCGTTGAAAACACAGTTCATGTAGAGGGTTTTAAAAGCACGCGTAGTTTGTAATTTTTCTCTCATAATTTGCTCTGCAAATCAAGTTCGAAAATGCCCCGTTTGAGTACAGCAAATCGAAATATTGCCATTGGTCGCATTGAGGGCCGGGGAAAGCTTTGGAACAGTTGCCCGTCATCTAAACGTACACAAAACAACAATCTCACGACTTTGGAATCGTTACACACAGTTCCATGCAATTGAAGATCGTCCCAGGGCGGTAGACCTAGAATCACCACACCGGCTCAGGATCGCTTTATTCGACTCAGCCACCTACGTAATCGGCATGCCACACCCACCATCACTGCAACACAGGTGCCAGGTTTGAGGAGAGTATCGGCCCAAACCATCAGGAACCGTTTACATGAGGAAAATTTACGTGCAAGAAGACCAGTTGTTGGGCCCGTCTTGAAACGCCAACATCGACGCCAACGTCTCAGGTGGTGTACTAACGTAAGGAGATGGACCCTAAGAAACTGGAGAAGAGTCTGGTTTAGTGACGAGTCTCGTTTTCTTCTTCAACGACGTGACGGTAGACAACGTGTCTATAGACGAGCAAATGAACGTTTTGCACCGAACTGCGTTCGACAGGTCGACAGATTTGGAGGAGGAAGCATCATGGTATGGGGAGCCATGTCTTACAACCAACGGTCAGACTTGGTCATCATTCGTGGCAATTTGACGGCACAACGGTACATTGATGACGTCTTACAGCCACATCTTCTGCCGATAATCGACCAACAGAGGGAGTTGTTTCAACATGACAATGCCCGCCCTCATACAGCTCGTGCAACAGTGGCATTCCTACAGAATTCAAACGTCAACGTGATGCCGTGGCCCTCCAGATCGCCAGACATCAATCCTATCGAACATCTGTGGGACCAGCTGGATCGTCGTGTTCGTGCACGTACACCCACAACCGCACGTTGGTTGAACTGGCCGCAGCACTCCAGGAAGAGTGGAGAGCAATCCCCAGGAAAACATCCGCCGTCTGATTCGTTCTGTTCGAGGAGGTGCACTGCTGTGATTAAGAGCTCGTGGCTCTACAACGAGATACTGAAGACAACGCCCCTAAGCGTAAATTGAGAGTTCGATACTGACCTGCATTAACTGTTACCTTATACCGTGCTGACCTAAGGGTTCACCATGTCAAATTTCATGGCATTATCTTTAAAAATACAAATGTAATAACCAGTTAAAATTGATATAAACATTACCAAAAAACAGGGGTTGCGTTTCTTTTTGAGAGAGTGTATTAATGCTGTTTTCAAAGAAAATATTTACCAAAAAGAATCAGGTGTGTACTTTCTTTTGAACGTCAGTTTAGTTACACACATCAATTCAACGTTCATTCGCGTGGTCACATTACCTGACGAACGGAGGATACAAAGCTGTAAACAACAGGAAAATATAAATATATATATATAAGAGATAGATAGATATATTTTGGTTGTGTAGGAACCGATTTCTGAGTTAACCTTTTAATTCGGAAATCAGTCTGTATAGGATGTGTGTCAAAGTTGGTGAAGTCACATATAGAATGAACAAGCCAGCTCCCACACAAATTCTTCCTGCCTCTATACACACAGACACAGACACTGCTTGAGCTAAATTAACTAATGTGAACTCTAAACGTCGCACACGATTCCTTTGAATCTAACAATCATGTTCAATCCAGTCAAAACGTTCTTCTTTCCACTTTTCTGAACCTCCATACAAAATAACATTCCTGTCATTCACAGACGCCACTGAGACACATGGAAACAATACCACGTAGTTTCACAAAGAATACACTTGCATAGTTGCAATTACAGAGAAGTACTCCAGTTCTGTCCCAATATTTTTATCACCACGTCCGACTTGAAATAAAGGAAAGCCTCCATTCCCTGTTTTACGAGTAACGTATATGGATGATCTAATACGATTCAATAAAGGTCAGAGAGTTAATTCACTTCAACGAAAAGGTTTCGAACAACAGTTCTTCAAAAGTCATTTATCTATGATTGTGCTTATTAATTGAATAATCTCTCATCCACAATAAAATGTACCAATTCATTACCATCCCTTAAATTTAAATTATCTGGAAAAGAAATTTGATAAAATTCCTAAATGTTTCCTAGTTGGTGAAAGGAAGATTAATATTCTACACACTAAGTTAAGACATTCATGTAGTTCTTTAAATGCTGATCTTTTACGTGTCAATTTATCTGAAAGTAAAGCTTGCCTTTGTGCTGCTCGAGTGGAAGATGCCAATCATTTCTTTTAAAATGTCCTTACACAAACTATAAATGAAAATATTTTTAGTCAAGTCCATAAATTCATTGTACGTAGTAGGCGTTTCACTGACTGACTGACTGAGTTTAGTTTTAGCAATTTGTCAGCAATATCACGGCGGGGGACACCAGAAATGGGCTTCACACATTGTACCAATGTGGGGAATCGAGCCTGGATCTTCGGCGTGACGAGACAACACTTTAACCACTAGGCTACCCCACAGTCCCAGTAAGCGTTTCAATAATGTGTAATATGTCTTACCTCTGTTAATTGTCCATTGCATGTACTTTTCCCATGTAACTGTCGGGAGAGGGCTTTAATAAGTTGAATAACTTGTGCCCAATCCCTTTCAATACTGAATAAAATATGTTCAATACAATAATAACAAAAAAGCCAACAACCTAAAATACATAAGCATAAAAGGAGAGCAAGCTGTAATACTATACACAAAGAACTAAGTTAAGCACCCGTTACGTATCTCACGATTGAGTGAGCCCCGATCTTAACCCTTTGAAGCACATCTAGGACATGATTGGTTGTCGTGTGAAGCAAAGGGATCCTCCTGTATAGAAACTGGCCCAATTGGAAGCTGCTTTACACGAGGAATGTGGTAGACTGGCCTTCAGAGGACCAGGGGGCTGACGGGGGATATGAAGAGGAGAGTGCTGGCTGTCATACAGTCACATGGAGGTTACACTCGGTATTGAGCTTGAATCGTGTAATAAACTCAAAATGACATTTTGAAAGTTCACATTCACCAATAAATTCAACATTAAACATTCCAGGGCCATACCTGTACAGAAATGGTTTGTATGAAAATCAGTGGATATTTTTTTTTTTTAAATGGGCAATTATCATCATAAAGTCAATATGGATTCCAATCATTTTGTCGTTTTTTTACGAGTCAAGGGATCATACGGATGAGAAAAACACCATCATGATCACCACGAGATGTTTTACGTGGGTGTTGAAAACCTATCATTACGAAAATACAGAAGGTGCTTAATTAAGTTCTTTGTGTGTGTGTGTGTGTGTGTGTGTGTGTGTGTGTGTGTGTGTATAGATAGATAGATAGATAGATAGATAGATAGATAGATAGATAGATAGACTAGCACAAGTCTATAAGGTATCAAATAATAGTTCAAACGTTAATTTCTAAAAGAACACATCGTCCCTCTAATAGACTGGTGTCCGTATAAGCAAAAAAATGAGAGCATGCTGTACAATAGTGCAATCATTAATATTGTATACTGTAATCAAAATACGAAAGTAATTTTAAAAAACTACAGTAGGAATTCAAACCAACAAAAAGATGACGTGATCCATACACATTGTCGCCATTGCAAGATTCAGGTGTTTACAAACGATCTTTCAAGGATATATATTATACTGTTTTGCAGATGAAATGAATACATCCTTCATTTGTGCAACTAGAAAACGAGGACAATACCTCTGTAAAATATCAAAATTACAATTGTCGATGTCTTTTTTCAAAGTTGATAAATAATATTATATATAGATTGTCAACTGTACTGATTCCCAGCAGAATCTGTCCCCACTGTCCAAATAATGAAGAAGTAATATATCTGTACAATATTAATTGAACAACTTAATCAACATGTGTATTACACAAGAGCGATAGAATTGTCAAAAATAAACGTTAGATCAACATGTCCCTCTCAAAACGTTGTTTGCAAATATGTATTCTTTCAACCTAAACCTTTGCTGAGAACCCTGCCCTTAACTGGATGTGATGAATGAAGGTCAGAATTATATCCCCGCCACCTTCGTGTTTGGAACTACTAACAGGGGACTTGGAATCAGTCAGTGACTAAAAGTCTCTAGGGTACATCACCATATGGTTTCTAATACATTAGTATCTGACATCTTTGAACCTTTTCACATAATTTTGTTTCAAATTCGAACTATATATTTGATGATAGAGAAAAAACCTAGGCATTCTGTGGGTTGATGACACATGGAAGACATCACAATCTATAATATTTCATGTCAATAATGGAAGTAGTCCTGTCCATTAGGGCGTCGCAATTCATAAATATTTACTGCTAAACATTTATTCACATGTGTCCAGCAAAATGTATTCATTGTGCGAATTCATAATAGCACTACATTATATAGTCAAAGAGGAATACAATATCAGACAGTTTACAAGCCAGTTTAGTTAGCAATATCATTAAGAGTTTAGTTCGCCTGCAACAACAGAGATCCAATCTACATGATCGACACCACCACGTGTAATCAGAAGCCAGGAACACCTCTCCTTTGTGCATTTTCCATTTCGTTCAGGTACTCGAGGGCAGTGTCGTCGTTGTCGTTAGCGGATTCCTTGTCTTCTTTGAACTTGAATCTCTTGCAGATGTCGAAATGCAAAATGTAGCAAGGAAGAATGCAGTCCTCCTCGTATATCACAATTTCCTTGCCATAGGGGTCTACATGACAGTCGTATCCAGGCTCTTTGGGGGCTCAAGTTTTAACTTCGGACACCTGAAGGTCTGAAATATCAAGTTGTTGTTTTTATACTTGTTCTTATTTACAACCTGCAATTTCATAACAAGTTTTAAGAATGGTTGTGGGCAATTTCTAGGACCACATAAGTGTGTATGTAAATGCGACATAGTAATTAATCTTTGCTTGACTGGAGTGGATGAATATATAATTAAGTCTAAAGAAGACTTCCGGACTGAGTCAATTTCTTGTAGTGACTTTCTTTATGAGTTGGAGTTTCATATTCAGGAGTTCACATCCGGTGTTTTACAAGTGACACAGTATTGGCATAAGAAATGCAGGAATGTCCCTAAGACAAATTAAACATAATGTTGGGCGCAATCCTTCCATCATTTTAAGACACGTTTACCAATGGTGTTGAAGATCTTCCAAGACCTGGCAGACCCAGCAAGACAACACTTAGAGAGGGATATAGCATTGTTGAAACTTGTTACTCGCTGTTTATGGGACTCAAGCACATCGTTAAAGGTAACGGTGGCTACCAATGAGTGTCATTTCCTATAGGACCGTAAGTAATCGGAAAGTCAGTTACAGAGGTCCAGAAGGCCCATCAAGCGCATGCAACTGTCTCCCTGTTCACAAAGCAGCACCGCTTGCCTGGGTATTCAACGTGTTCGCTGGAATGTTGCACCATAACACCACCATTAAAACTGTACAACCTTCCATGTAAACCATCCTGCCATTATCTGTACATTTGTCCTTCTGATGCCGAGTATGGTTCCTGGTCGTACACACGGTTGGGACAATGGAACACAGTTATGGTTCCCTGCAACATCCAGGAGACGGTTTCCTGTAGGTATCATGGTATGGGGATACATTTCCTTGGGTGTCAAGATGGACCTCATCACCATTCGTGAAGTAACCTTAATAGGCTTCGGTATCAAGTGGAGATCCTTGAGAGGATGTTGTCCCCACGTTTTCTTAGCCATCCTCTAGCCACAATGCCAGGCCTCACAGAGCTGCCACCCAGTTCTTGCCAAGGAATACTGTTGAGACCATTCCGCTGACTAGCCATCAGTCCAGATCTCAAGCCCACTGAGCGTCTGTGGGACATTTTGGGACATTTATGCTGTCGTGTTCGACGGAGAGACCAGATTCTCCAGACTCTCAATGAATCGACAGCTGCCTTGCATGACGAGATGGAACAGGATTCCTCAGAATCAGTATTTGGACCTACAAAGACATTATTCTTCAATTCCATGAAGAAGTTGTGTATGTACTGTACTGACAGTTAGGTCTTCGTAAAAAAGTGAACTTTTGTTATGTTGTTCCATGAATGACTTCATTTGCCAAATCTGTACCATATTTAAATAAACCAGATTATGTCATGGCAGCCTTGGCTATGTTCCTCCTCAACCCTTTCTTTTCACTACAAAGTTCATATGGTATACAACTCTTTGACACATTTTATGCACCAGTTCATTAGATTTGTTCAGTCTGAGAAAATACGGCCGTTGCTGTATAATTTCCATGTGAATATAGGGGTGTCTAGGCTTAATGTATTGAACTGATAAGTCTCTGTTCTGAAGTCGTAATTGTTTACATCTAGGTGTCATGCTGATTATACGTTTCTGATAAATAATCCGATGGCCATTACATCCTAGGCTAATACATCAATGTACGTTTTGACTCATCATGCATGCAATGGTAGACCTGCGCTGAGTCTCGCTGTGTGATACTTGTATGACACTTTACCTTCCCAACATTCAGGACTTGGCACATGATTAACTTGCTGGTCTTCTTCATGTAATTCATCGCAAACCGAGGGTATTCACTGAAGTAGATACCGTTCCCGTACCAACCCACATCAGTTGTCTCGTCGAAGTAGGGGGTGGTCTGGTTCAGAAGGGTGTCAGTTATATTTTTCGATAAAAATGTTGTATTGAACAACGAATAACCAAGCACTATAAAATTCTAGTTCCTAATTTATGATATCGGCAGTTGTCGCAAATTAAAAAACAAACCCAGTGATAACAATCAATTTTAATTGTAGGTATATGCTGTTCATATTTTCTGTTATTTAACTATTCTATAATTAGTCAAAGGATAAGTCATATGTAGGTGTACAGAGTATTTTTCACTATTTTGTATAACAATCTTATTGAACATTGGATGCATAGTAAAAGTTAGAAAGAATGTGAATTGCAGTCTGTGACAATTTATTTTTCTTCTCCAGTATATGAAAATATATAAAAACTATTTGGACTATATAAAATTCTAAGACACGTGGACATTTATATACTGTGATATATCAACAAACATGAACACATTGATCAGGCAGCCAGTATCAGTTTAGGAGAAACAGACAATAGTACATACCAGGCTGACGGAATCCTTCCTTACAAAATACTCTTTATGTTGTCCTCAGACGTCCCATGAAAACAAAGAACGGGAAGGCCGTATGGAAGCGTCTTTAAGGGACATTCTCTCCTGGGCCGCCCTGCACATATGACATATTGTATATACACGATGTAAAATCGATCATTCTCTTTCTACAAATATTTACAAACTTCAGCTCTTGCTCACATGTTGTTATATCCAGGTTACAACATTCATGGTGGATGTATGAAGACATTTTGTAAATTTGACGCATCCCTGACTGAAGTGATGTCCGATTCAAATCTTAAATTTTATTTTTAATGATTTCTTTATTTTTGTTGCACTTATACACAGTGCACGTGCATATAACTGTCTATGTGCTATGTGCTCGTCGTGATTTCTCAGTAGAACAATTGAACATGCTATTGCGTGTGTGTTGTGACACGTGTCGCCTGTGGGACAGGGAAACGCCCACCTTTTCGCGAAGGACTGGTATTACCAGGATTTGAAGGTGATCGATGGATGCATGTTTAAAAACGGTCGGAATTGTACCATCGACTCCTGTTTTGACAGAAATGTCATATGAATAGGAAAAGGTTTTGTCCCACTGATTCATATATAGCACGTGTACGTACCAGTGCATTATTCCCAATATAACTGTGGAATGATACTACTACTGATATTATTTGTAGAAGTAAGTAGTAGCCCATACTTGTTAAAAGATGCGACTAATGGAATGGGGTGGTCAGGCTCGCGGACTTGGTTGACACGTCTCATGAGTATTACAATTGCGATCATAATCACTGGGTTGTCTAGTCCAGGCTTGAGTATTTACAAACCTCCGACACATAATGGAATATTGCTAAGAACGACGAAAAAAAAAAGAACTAACAATGCTTAACATCGACTCACCTGAACATTTTCACCTGCACGGGGTTCACGACGTATTCCACTTTGGTGAGTTGAAAAAATATGCCTGAAGGAAAATAATCGTAAATTATACAGTGGAATCTGTCAAACCCGGACTCTGTGTAATCCGGTTTTATCATAATCCGGCAAAATTGTTCTTAATTTATCATTAAAGCGTGAAGTTGAATTTATGGTGAAAAATCAGGCCATAAAGCGTGAATAAGCGTGAAACATAGCTATCACGCGCAGCGTGCCACCACATGATCAAGGCACGCATCAACATTGCAAGTTTATTGAACAAGCGAGTATGCCGCGATTCACAATCAGCAACATCAGAGTGTCATAGGCGGGCTTTAATGCAGCAGACGAGTACACAGTTTAACGACGGTATCTTCCCATAAGACATACCTCCCAAAACACAGACCGCTTAAAACAACACATTTTGTGGTTGGTTGCATAAGGCTTAATTAAGCTGTACCCTTGATAATAATGGTATGTGCCCATTAGGTATTAACTATAGCTTTATCATGTAATGAATTATGATTTTTAAATTAAGACATATTGCATCAACATACATTTGCCAGATCACATTTACTTGTGACTATTATCAAAAACAATAATTTATATACATGTACCTGTCAAACATATGAGACCAAGCACCATATTATTTTACATCACATGTTTTTCAGTGCACAGATAACACGTATTAGAAAGTCACTTGAACATCATCATTTTCTCCCCTTACACCTTGGCATACAAGTAACCATCTAGAAGGGTGATCGGAAAAAGTCATAGGAAAAACTTCATGTGAAAAAATAACTATTATAAAACATCCTGCTCTCCAGTTATTTAATTTGTTTATACTGAATTTTATAAATACTATTTCACTTTCATCTTCAAATAATCTTAAGTAATAAAAACATCCTGTTCTCCAGTTATTTGCAAAAACGTAGTCAACAACTGTTATAAAACGACCTATTCTCCAGTTATTTATACTTGTATGATCTTGATTTTTTCTTTATGAACATGATGGCCTCGAACATGTAAATAAAAGCTTATTGAGGACCAGCTTGGTATCTTTATGAAATTGTTGATATTACTTTACGCTGACGATACTGTCATATTAGCTGAAACAAGTAATGGATTGCAAAAATCTTTGAATGTGCTTGACCAGTATTGTAAAGAATGGAAACATATTGTGAATTTAGATGTCTGTGATGAAATTCGCCAATATTTCTGTAATCATCCTACTATTGAAAATATTGTTTATTTAATGAAATGGATTTTTCACCACTTAACTCTAAAGTTGCCAAATTTATCAAAACTTTGTTCAATGTTTTTATATGTATTAATATGCTGTATGTTCTCTGTGTGTCACTATATGTGATTTTTAGAATAAAATTTCAGTTCAGTAAAAGGACTGGTAATGTGTTTTTGAGAAGGGCACAGGAGACAGATATGTGTTGTTATTATACTCTGTAGTGACTCTGGGTCAGCTCATTAATTAAATAGGGTTGGACAGCATGGCTCAGCTAATTAGTGTACTCATTGTCTGTCTTTTTGGGAGTGAACTTTAAGGACCCATGTACAACAGACGAGCACTGCTGCAGGTTGCGGTGCCGAGTATGACGTCACACCAAGATGGCGTACAAATCAATCTCTAGAACAGATTTGTGATTGCAACCTACTCTAGCAGACACTTGTTCTGGGGTAGAGTGTCAGCACAGATAATCAGGAATCGTCTTCCACACCACCAGTCATCGAGCCAGACGACCCAACACTGGAAATATTCTGACGCACTTTCATCGTGTTCAACTCTTCACTGCGCTCTGCTGTTGACGAGGTGCCAGCCTACGGTCTGTGTTTCCGGAGGAATGTTACACAGTGTATGTAGTTTACACATTATCATTATGCTGTTGTTCAGTTATATTTTTAACGAAACCCCAAAGTCGCTAAAATTATGATAGTAGGATATTTATATAGCGCACATGTACATGCAACTACAAATGTAGTACATGCTCAATGCGCTTGAGTGTTCCAACTTATCAACGGATGTCTTTTTGTATTGTTTTACCAACTCAACTCCGTGGGGATCATTCAAGTGCCGACAGTTAAGTGCAGCGAGTGATCACAGTCATCCTCAGGGAAGTACCCATTTGCGAAATATTTTGTCCAAAGATACTGCACGTTACTCTACCACAACTAGGTGTATGCACGTGTTCGTGACCTGTATACCATCGACCACCTGACCATCTGATACTGCACGTTACTATACCCACAACTAGGTGTATGCACGTGTTCGTGACCTGTATACCATCTGACCACCTGACCATCTGATACTGCGTTACTATACCCACAACTAGGTGTATGCGCGTGTTCGTGACCTGTATACCATCTGACCACCTGACCATCTGATTACTGCACGTTACTATACCCACAACTAGGTGTATGCGTGTTCGTGACCTGTATACCATCTGACCACCTGACCATCTGATACTGCGTTTACTACCCACAACTAGGTGTATGCACGTGTTCGTGACCTGTATACCATCTGACCACCCTGACCATCTGATGCTGCACGTTATACCCCACAGCTGGGTGTATGCACGTGTTCGTGACCTGTATACCATCTGACCACCTGACCATCTGATACTGCACGTTACTATACCCACAACTAGGTGTATGCGTGTTCGTGACCTGTATACCATCTGACCACCTGACCATCTGATGCTGCACGTTACTATACCCACAACTAGGTGTATGCGTGTTTACGTGACCTGTATACCATCTGACCACCCTGACCATCTGATGCGTTACTATACCCACAACTAGGTGTATGCACGTGTTCGTGACCTGTATACCATCTGACCACCTGACCATCTGATTACTGCACGTTACTATACCCACAACTAGGTGTATGCACGTGTTCGTGACCTGTATACCATCTGACCACCTGACCATCTGTTTCATGTTTTGGATCTATGTAAAACTATTGTTCCACTACAAATGTTACACCTATGCTACTGCACTGTTTCAAATGTTTGTATATCCACCTTTCTGCTGACAACAAACATGTTTTACATATGAAGCATGGCATACTGATAATTTGATGCTATGATCAAAACATCACATGCCTGTATATCTGTATATATGAATCAAGGGATACAGAGAAACTACTGCCTTATGCAAGAGCTTTGTTCATGCATCTGTCTCCCTGAATATGCCAATCAAATGTTCCCACATGTCCACCTTTTGCTGATAAGCGGCATGTTTAGATATGAACTATGACATACTGATGATTTTATGCTATAATACCAAAACATCACGTTTTCATATATACATTTATAAAATAAATTCACTACCATCATTGATGCACGGTTTTGCATAAAGCATAACAATGTTAACAATAAACTATATTACCTATTTTATCTATACTGCCAAACGATATTCACTAGTCAGCCAACCACACTACCTAACAAAATAAATATATAATCAACAAACAACAACGAGGAGACCTGTAGCCACAATATAACTGACTCGCTGAATAATATTAGCAACAATAATGACCAAAAGGTAAA